AAATTGCAATTTATAACAAGAAAGGTTAAGTTTTTAGAAACCCTTACCATAGGTCCAATGTTATCGTTCACATTGTTCTTGACAAAGAAACTGGACTGGAAGGTAACCAAATATGCAGGATTAATAAAAAAAGATCTTTTTTCCGAGAACTTCGTATTCGAAATCTCAGAATTCATGAAATTAAAGTTCACAAATCCTTGTAGAGAGATAACACGATTTGTCTTTTTCAAATAATTATTGGCAACGGTGATGTTCCTGATTTCTACGAAAACTGGAACTGTTTGATTGTTAACAACGCTTACAGAACCAGCATTATTCTTTTCTAAGAAATTTGTACTGGTAATATTAATTCTCAGATTACCCAGTACGTGCTTTGTTACTGAAACATTGATAAGGTTGGAAAACGCTGTGTCTTTTTCAAAGGAACCGAATAAACAATTATTAACAGTTAAGGAAACATCGTCAGCTTTCAAAAAAGTGTCAAGAAATTTTAAATGGTGAAATTCAATGGTTGTTAAATTGATCGAATTGCCTTCAAAATGTAGTCCTTCTCCAGAGCAGTTTATGGTTGCTCTTCCATTCCAAGAATTAGTTTTCCAGTAATTGCCCTCGTTGTGTTTACACATGTATTGTATGGTACATTTTCGGTGTTCTTAGCGTCCAGTTTAATGATGACGTCATTTCCGCTCGACATATTGATCACGTGACGTAAGGTTTGACATGGTGAGGTGACGTTTTGACAAGAGTTCGCGCCATCGTGACCACGCGCTTTTGAGACATAGAGATTAATGTTCCCGGAGGCTGGAATTAAAAGAATGCATTTTAATGAGTTGTTACATAGAGATTTTATTTTTGTGGAAGTACGTCAGCGCAGCCAGGCTGTGATTAACTGGCTTGATGATTTTTGAAGTTGCTACTTTAGATATTAAGCCGTGTTTATACCACGAGGCTAAGCCTGGCCTAGGCCTAGCTTTGGACTAGATTTTTGTAGTGTAAACGCACTTTGCCTGTTCTAGGCTAGGAAATCTAGGCCACCTGTTCTGATGGGTCCAGATTTCCTGGCCTAGGCCAGGCTGAAGTGCGTTTACACTACAAAAATCTAGTCCAAAGCTAGGCCTAGGCCAGGCTTAGGTTCGTAGTGTAAACACGGCTTTAGAGACCTTACGATTTTAGGACGGCAACGCGACGACGACGGCCAAAACAAACTCCTTTGGATAAATCGTAGTAAAGATAATTCGTCGTATATTATCAATCGCATGAATTTCATACAGGTCTTAGAAAGTTGTCGTTGAAGACATGGGTTTTATGTTGGGAAGAGTTCTACTGAACCCAGTTTGAAGTTGTTGCGGCTTGAAATGCAGCCGTTGTATCAAGACGTGAAAATCTGTGATTTGCCGTTGTAAACAGAGCGAGGACAATGTCTAAATTATTCATATATAGTAATTACTCAATGGACCTTTAACCTTATAACTAAAATTTTGATCTAGACAAGTCTAGACAAAAAATTCATCACAGCTTGAAAGAGCATCACAAAATTAGTAATATTCCAAAGTTTCGTTGCGAAATGTTG